CTGGCTTGCACGCAGGAGGAAGATGCCATTTAACAACTCTAACTATATACAGGCTGCAAGCACCTTGTGAAACTGTGCGGTGTTTCCAAGGCTAAGTCCCATCTACATTTCTATTTAAGACAAATCAGGCTATAAAAATCTATGCACTGCTTCTCAGCAAGGGATACTTTTATTAAAAAACAAAGATCACCCTGAAATAAAAGGATTAGACTTTGCCATGCTTATAAACAATAACCTTGAAAAGTGAAAGACTCAAATGTTCAAGAAACTTTGCTAAGTCAATGACTGATCCTCTGAACAATGTGAGAAAAATGAACTCAACCAGTAATTGGATGAGATATTGAGATGAGTTTTTGCTTTTTGTTTTTTTGGGCTGTTTTTTTCTTTTTTGATGAAACATATATTCTAAAAAACTTCCTTTCATACTTTAAATAGAATTTTAAGAGCAAAATAAAGCAAATACTAGGTGCACACAAATTCATCATTAGTTTCTAGGAGAGTAGTAAAAAGACACAGACAGAGACAAGCAGAACCTAGAGGGAGGAAAAGAATCATACTTACTGAGCTGATGTGAGGAAATAGCACATGGAAGCTATTAAAGGATTCATTACGGGGGAAAATGATTTTAATTCTTTGATGTTGGAGCTTCCTATGGAACATTTATATTCACTATAATTATCATTTTACTAGAAAATGTTGGATAGATTGTATTAGCTTATTTTTCTATGTTTTGTTTATACTTATTGAAAAGATATCATGCTACTAGATATGATTTGTAAAAAAAGATAACTACAGCAGGGCAGGATGCAAAATTGAAGAATATGCTACCCAGGGCTGATGGCTGCTTGAAAGGAAGCAGCAGACACCACTGAGCATTCTGTGGAAGAGAGGCTATGACATGACTTATATGCCGAGCACAAGCGTGGTTGCAGAGGGTGAATCAGTGGCACAGGGGAGTATCAATCGTTTCTTCTCTTTAGTTTTTAAACTATGATTTATCTTAAGGGCGGTGATTTCCCATGAGATGCTTTCTCATTTTAAAGGTGCTCAATTGCCTCTTTCACAAATAATCAAGTTGTTGTAACATCATCTGTATTATTTACAGTTGGATTTTTAAAAATTGCTCCTATTATGCAAATCAGACAGCAGATGATATATTTTGGATTTCTATTTAAAAGAAAACATTTTTACCCAACTGAAATTTGTAATGCTATTATGGGTCTGGTTTCCATTTATCAGACACCAGTATTTTCTTTTACTTCACAGAGTACTCCAAACATATGCAGCTTTCTCATTCAGATAGTATTAATTTTCCACAGATCGCATACAAAAGAAATTCCATCTGAGGATAAAAAAGCCTATCAATAGTAGTAATGCAATTCATAACAACAGTAATGATTATTTTAATAATTCCCAATATTTATTAGGCATTTTCTTTGTGCCAGGCACTGTTTTAAAAGCTCTACATGCACAAATTTATTACATCTTATTTATTCTAGGAGCTAGGTACTGTTATTAATCCTCTGGCACAGATGAGGAAACTGAGGGACTGTGACTTGTTCAAGCATAGGGTCCCTGTAACATGCACCCATTAAAGAGATGAAGTGAATAAATACATTTATGTTTTGAAACTTTAAAGATACTATGTTACTTATAAACTGACTCAGGGCCAATTCTCCATCTGAACTTCAGCTTTCTTATCTCTAAATATGGATACCTGTATATATATATATACACACACACACACACAGTATATATATGTATATACTTACACCGCTTATATACTGTTGCTTTATCAGACTGTGCTATGTACAAGGAATGAGAGGATTTAAAAAAACTCCACAGAACTAACTATTATAAAATCAGAAGTGAAAGCAGGTACAGCTGGGGAAATGGACCCTTGGAGACATCAGGGCCACGTGACTGGTAAGTGCCAGACCTGGGAACCAAACCCAGATTTCCTTGTTCTTTTTGCGAGTTCACCTCTCTCTTCCTACATTACTAAAAGTATATATTCTAGATAAGTTTGGATTCTAGAAGATTAAGGATATTCTTATTTATTATTTTTAGGCACATATGGGTATTAATTTCCATTTAGTCTTTGATAGTATTTATATTAAAGTTGTTAAAATAAATCCTATAATTTTTCTTCTTTAGAATTACTATTTTCTTTTAAGAACTGCTTAAACAGGGAGGGGACCCAAAGGTAACTGGATGGGCCCAAGATTCAATTGTGTTTCCATACTGCTTACCCTATAATGCAACAATTGTAAGCATTTTATTATTAGGACGCTCCTGAATTTAGTCTGCATTTTTTGCCAGGATAAGTAAAATGACTGTCATTTAGAGACATGGCATAAAGTCATAAAGGGGCACTATTTTAAAAATTCAGAAAGCACATTGGTGCCTGTATATAATTCTTGATTCTTCTAATTTTTTTCCCCTGCCATCTCTTGGAAGTTGCGCAAAAGTTTTGCTCCACTAAACAGAGATAAAGACAATAGAAATCACTGTGCAACTTCCAGTTTTTTCTTAAATGTCTGTCCAATCACTACAAAGTAATGTGAAGACAGTGGCCAGTACCACTGAGCAAAGAACAACAAAAATGCTCAAAATAAAAACCTTCAGATAAAACCTCAAAATTCTACATTACCACCACAGGTAAAACCCAAAACAAACATGTTAAATTTTATGAATTGTGCAAGAAGTCTCTGAGCATTTTAATATCCTTGAAACATCTGGCTGTGTGTTTGTTACCCAAACTCTTTTACAGGAGAAGACTCAGTTAGTGGGTCTGTCATTTGAGTTGCCAGTGTTTCTCTTCTGTGCGTAAGATATAGGTTGATGGCTTCCCGCCTTAAGTATCTACTGGTTAGGGCTTAGACTAAAATAAAACACTGTTTGTGGCTGTAATCTAGATTAAAGCTCTCTGTCTAGCCCATAAACTTCAATTAAAGCTTCTAACCTTTTGCATAACACTTAAAATCGAAAGGCTTTTGTTTTCTAGGTCAGCTCTAGATTTAGGGTATATTTGTGGGCACACAGCTATAAGAAGGCAGGTCTTAGTCTGATTTAAGCGCTTTGGCTTTTATGCTGTAAAAATAGCATAGGAATGAAATGTACGTAATAAAGGTACAAGGAGGAACATTCTTTGTCCTTTGGCTACATTACTGTTAAGATGGTGGAAAATAACAGGTTAAGCAAAATAATGATGAAGTGTGTCAAAAGCACAGGGAAGTGGTAGGACTTAATGACCTAATTCTGGGTAGAAACAATGCTACAACACAGCAAGGGAAGACTGACAAGTTTCCCGGCCAAGATCATGCTAAACTGGCTCTCAATATACATCCATTTATTTTATTTCCATCATTTGTCTTGTTTTACTAATAGAAAAAAAGAAAAGAAGATTTCTTTCCTCTGTGACTTGGTTTATTTAGTGCCTTATTAATTATGGAGATGATTTAAGAGACCCAGGACAAGAAACTGCTCTTTTTTTTTTACATTTTAAATTGGAAAATAGAGATAAAATGTAAACCTTATATGCTAATCATCTATATACACCAATTACAGTTTCTAAGCAGAACTTGAAAAGAAGCAATTACTTGTTCGATAAGATCCTGCTTGAACTAGCATTGGTGAACTCTGATGAAACTGATCGATTTTTTTTTCAGTAGAGCAAAAGGTTAACTCTTGCACACCTAGTATCTTTAACAGCCTCAAAAAGGGATTAAAATATTTTCTGACATCAATAGTAAAATTGATTCTGAGAATTTTACAAAATGCATCTATGCAACACGAGACTATTTTGGGAAAAGGGGGCTGCAGGTATAGGCTTACTCAAATGCTGAAAGGTAATATTCTTGTTTTCAAAAAACTGCAAACAGTATAGGGTTGCCTTTTGTGCTTCCTGGGAAAGCTTTTAAGCAGAATCTCACTTTCAAATTCACTTTGGACATTAAACAGGCAGGTAGGATTTAGAGCCATGAGATACAGTGGTGGTCACCACAGATTTCGGAAACAGAAATAAGCAAAAGATATTTGAACTGCTATGGATGAAATGGTTTTGACTATAAGGTCCTAAAAAAGGACTGGGTCTGAAGCTGTTATTATTTCATGTCTTACAAACCATCTGGAAAAAGGTAAACAGTGAACTATCAAGGATGAAAAGTCTGCAAAGCTCTCTGGACACCAATGACGATGGATGCGGTATGTGGCAGCTGGTGGTCCAGGTTAGCTGTTCTGACAGAGGGAAGGACATAGTGCATTTAGATAGCGATCCAGTGTGCTGCATGGCCAAAAAAAACTAACAACATGCTGCATGTTGAACGTGAGCCCCTAATTGTTTTTCATTTTCAGTGTGAGGAGGGGTTTATAATTGGAAAGGGGTGAATGGAAAATACTCTCCATGAATCTTTAAGAGGAGCTCGATATATCCTAGGACTAATCCTCTTCTTATAGTAGGCATCCTTCCCTCTGGAATGCCCTCCTTACTACAACTGTGACAGCTACATTATCAAGCAGTCCACGAATTAGACATTCCAGACATTTCCAATGTGCTTAATTTTTATTAATCACATCAGCAATGCCTGGTGGCTATCCACATTTATTTACAAACAAACAAGCCCCTCACACATTTTTAAAAATAACAGTCTGTGGGCAACTTCTGACAATCACCTATTTATTTAAAACCATCAGCAACTATCAGTAAAATGGGCAACTTCAATTTGCTTCTCTCATATAAACATCAGCTATGTGATCAGTCTTTCATCTAGGGTAGCGGCAAGAAGGTAATGAGAGATGCTCTATGTTATCTGGTTCTGGGGATACTGTGTGTCCACAGATGGTACATTTGTATGCGAAAAAAAAGGTGAAAACAAGCAGTGCCTGAATCTTAAGTAACTATTTTCACAGATGGCGAAAAACCCAGCTGAAACTGTGCTTTCATGCACACACTTCCGCCAATGAAAATAAAGGTATAAATAACATGTGCATTTGCTTACCTTCTATTGCCGATAGGAGAACCCGGGAATGGTCATACGCGATTACATTTGCATATCTGTTCTTTGGTTTGTTTACTTCCAAGTTTGAATGTTCCCATGTGAACTGCTGGCCAGGGTCAATTGACTTCAAGAGGAAAACACACATATACAAAGTCAATACTGAATCACACCGGATTCCAGGCATTTATCACAAGTAATAAACATGATTTAAAAAGAAAATTCTGAAGTCATACTTCATCAAGATGACCTGAGCTGTGAGGGTGACCACTAATATAACCGGCATAACATGACATGATTAATCATAGACAAAACTGGTGACAGTCACCAACACTGTGTCAAATGAAAAAGAAATCAATACAGATGTTCTGTTAATACTGGAAATGAATGCTTTTTAAATTTTTCTACTTTTCCATTTCCTTTTCTGCTGCTCTGGTGTACAAAGTTATCTGGCTCAATAGTCCTTCTGATTCTGTGAATATTATTTTATCTTGATTATTTTCCATATTCTTTACTATCTGGACCAAACCTCACTCTTTAAGTTGACATCATTCACTAGCTCCATGGAGCACAGGCTTTACTGTTCTCTCCTCACTTACAGGCTCACATCTTGATGGCAACTTCAAATGTTGTCTGTTTCTCCATAACACATTATGACCAGTATTGTAAGGCAATTTGTACAATTCAAAGAGTTAAGACAATAATAAAGAAGGGAGGTCAATTATATCTAATAATCATCTTTGTTAGAATATTAATTTATAATTTAATGCAGATAGGATCTAGTTGCTCTTTCATTTATTACTATATGTTTTGTATGTATCATTATGGGTTATCAGATTTACAAAGTTTGCTTTTTTATTATTTTAAACTTATTTTTTCTGATTTTTAATGCATTGTTCAAAGTTATTCAATAATCTAAAATAAATAGTGCACAGATATAAAATAATAGATACATTTTTAACATTAAAGTAGAACTTCATTGTAAAAGTAAAATAAATTAAGACTGAACTCAGGCTTTGATTATAAAACTGGGGGTGATTTTTAATTTCTTGCAATGTTATGGAAATCGAAACACCTTTTCTTTTATCATAGGGTACATAACATTGGTATATGGAAACATGAATTAAGTAATTACATAAACATGACTTTAAATGATCAAAATTGAGTTTTCAGAAATAATGATCAATTAGATTTACATACAGGTAAAAACAAATTTTTAAAGTAAAGACACTATGTTATGTTAATGGAATCTGTACCAGTTATTTTTGAGGCTGGGCATTTTCCACGCTTTCATGTGTGTATGTAGAACTTGAAAATAAAACATGTACAACACCTGTACAATATTCAAGATGTATACATACATTTTGTGTTAAAAGGGATAGGGTTCACACGATAGTAAAACTTCACAAGTATAAAAAGTCAAGCCTATTAATGATCAAAAAAAGCCTTCACACCTACTAAAATTCTCAGCACTATAGACTGCAGCCTCCAGTTATTAAGGATTATATAATCCTTTCCCTTTCTTGGCCTATCTGAATCTATATAATGAACTAGTGCATCACTGAACAGCATTCAGCAAAATAATTGCCCATGCTTTAGAATCCAAAGGATAAATAACTTGAGGTCTTTCTAGTTACTTCTTCCAAGAAAACTCATCATTTTCCCTCCAGAATATACTCCTCTCCAAGTACTCCATGAGCTAAAGGGAGCTGAAGCAACCTTGAACTTCCTCCACAAAAAGCAGCTCCATTCAGTGACCAAGACCTTACTTAAAATTTTCTCAAATCGGTAGCAAATCTGCCATCCCTAAATCCAGTCCTTCAGTATCTGATATTTGATTGGAATCCCTCTTCTAACCTCTCATTCCAATCTGTTCTTCATACTGAAAGTGGTCTTTCTAAAGCTCAGTCCCGGACAGGCTAGGTCCCTGTTTAAGAACTTCTACTGGCTCTGGGTGACCTACAGCTTAAATTCTGAAATCTTTAGCCACAGTTCTACCTAAATACTTTGAGTCCTCTTTGCCAAGATGGTTCAATAAATGGGTCAATGTTTTTTTTTTTATGGGTTGAATTGATAAATGTTGAGAATAGTTCATAAAGAGAAACTGTGGAGTAAATCCTCCATATAACATGGGCATTAGAGAGCCGACCATGGAAACCACAGTATACTGTATACTAAAATGTTAATGCTTTAACACATTATCACACAGCTTCACAATAAAGTATGGGATCCTGAAATTACAACTACCACTGATACTCCACTTGACACTGAGCAGCATTACTGAGGACATAAACTTCTTACATATTATTCTCTAAAATATCCCAAGAAGCTCCTAAGCTCACTGATGTACAGTCCTTTGGCAGAAGATATTTCTCCCTCCGATGGCCTTGTTACTCAGACTGATTACTCACAGATGTGTAAAATGGCATGCATTTAGATGTGAAAGTGCATCTATCAACTCAAAGATAGTGTTAACTCATGTCCATTTCCACTCTTGCCACATATTCTCAGCCTTCTGGATGATGTATTTGATACCTCCATTGAAGAATTTAAAAACCATAACCAGAGGCAATCAAAACATGAGTTGTATGTCACATATGTTAATATGTTCAGGCTTAAAGTATGACCCATGAGAAGGTGACCTGCCGGTAACAGGATCGTTATTATTAACAGCTGCCAAGTCATTGTGCTTTATATGCAGTGTCAGGTCGAATTTACACAAGTGTGATGAGGTTGATATTGTTCTTCAAATTTTCCAGACAGGAAAATTGAAGTAAAGAAAGATGAACTCACTATACCTCATGAAGGGCTTCTCTGTGGCAGGCACAGGGCTATCCGGTGGCTCAGTAATTTGCTCTTGTAGCTAGACTCACATTTACCCTCAGACCCACTTCTGTGTGATTTCACAGTACCACTGATGATTAACAGCTGGTAATTACTAATCGTTAAGTACCACAATGCCACTTAACTATCCTGAATGCTACTGCAAAATGACACCCAACACATGAAACACACCTAAACATAACTATCCTTTATGTCGCCAGTCTGAGGAATATTTTCTTCAGCTCATCATCCTGTGTCATTCTGGGGCAATTACATAAGAAATCAAGTTTAAAAATGAGGTTGGCTTCACATGGATGATAGAACAGATGGGAGGCAGCTTACATTTATACTTGTTTTACACAGATCAAATAAACATCGATTAAATAATGCTGAACTGTCTTTGTGCATCACACACTCATCCATCTGTATCTGTCTGACTGAACCTTTAGCAATACACAGCAGAGGTCATTATTTTGGGGCTTGTCAGAATGCTGAAAACTCAGTAAAGAATAACCATTTAAAGTAGGTGAGATAGAAGATCTTTTATATATATATAAAAAAACTGGTTGAGGAAAATCAAATTTCAATTATCCATGTTATTGAGGCAAACATATCCTGGATGAATAAGAATCTAATTCTCAAAACTCTCTTTTTCGCTCTTTCTTAGTGTTGGCGATGACATAGTTGCTTTGCCTCTGTTTTCTGGCTTCTCTTGCTGAGATCTTTTAAGGAAGAATAAAATAGCCAACATGGAGAAAGAGCAACACAGGTCTTAAGAAGTTGATTTCCACTTCAATCTCATATTTTTGGTCAGCCCGGAATGACCACGCACCTTCCTACTATAAAGTTAGCTGAGGCCAAGCCACTATTATCCAAACAACTTGAGATAAGCACCTTTGTTCTTAATGAATTAAATTCCTTCCTGCTGTTTGGTTTTCCTGAGCTTGACTCTCAGTTATCTCTACTCATCCTTCTGGCTTTGTTAATCCAAACAAGTTTTGGTCAGATACTCCTTCCCAGCATTCAATACAAATTCTACCCTTAATTAGTTATCCTGGCCACATCTTCTTGAACTTCCCTTGAGGGGAATTTTGCAAGTTGGAAATAAAGCAAGCTAGATTTAGTCAACCAAAAATTAATTAATGTTTAAAATAAAAAAGGCTATGTGACACCTGTACATTAAACTCTCACAGAATTCAAAAGCAACAAAGCTATTTCATCAGATTTACTTTTGGTTCTCCAAGCTCTTGAACAAGGCCCTTAAAGAATCAGTGGATGAACCTTGTGTAGCATCTAAACTTTACCAAAATGCCAAACCATTTTACATTGCTTCCTGTCTGCACACTTGGCATGTGACACTCTCTCCCTCTGACACCTGCCCCCCATGTCCCCATAGCTTTTGACTGAACAATTCCAATAATAACAGACCTTCAACTCAATGGCTTTGCCTTACTGAGAAAAAGAGACCAGATAGGAGGAAAATTCCTTTGTAACTTAAAGAAGAAAGGGAAAGTCTAAAGTAGACACTTGTTAATATCAAATACTTTGCATTTATGTAGTCTTTAACTTGATGGTCTGAAAGTTCTATTTTTTTAAATCAATTAAAACTTTGTCTTAAAATAGGTAAGTGGAAAAATAATATAAGCTATAAATTGATGAATTTATAACTTTGCACTGTATTCTTGATAAAGAGCCAAAATTAAAATATAAGTATTTTTACCCATTAGTTCTAACTAACACTTCTGTAACCTTAACTGTTTTCCTTGTGTTTCACATATACTGACTCATTTCATCTTCACAAAAATCCTAGAAGTAGTTGCCACGATTATCACAATTCTATAGATGAGGAAACTGAGGAGCAGAGAAGTTGAATGACTTTTTTCAGGGTCAAACAGTTAAAAAGTCAGAGAAGCTGGGTTTGGGGCTCAGGTATTCCGGCCCACAGTCTGAGTGCCCCGCCACCACACTCTGCTGCTTCTCCGGCCAAGCTGGAGAAGATTCCTCGATTGTTTGACACTCGCCTTTTAAGTATTCTCTTGAAACATAGCGGGAAGGCTGGGAACTAAACTCTCTACAGTGCTTCTGATCAATATTTATAATTCCAAATGCAAAACAAGACAGTGCTCATACATTTGCTCATCATATTACCAGTCATTGAATAGTTACATCCTGATATGAGAGTGAACTTTTTGGATAAAGCTGAAGTCATCATTTTAAAGCCCAGTCTTTAAATATGGTTCAGAAAAATTTCAAATTCTCTACCCAGAAGGAAAATTTAATTCACATGTGCAAAACACCATACAG